CCCGCGCTGTCCCCGCAGAGCAGAGCCGCAGGGACGACCTGGAGGCGCTGGGCCACATGTTCATGTACTTCCTGCGCGGCAGCCTGCCTTGGCAAGGGCTCAAGGTAGGTGGGGCGAGGCGTGGACCGCGAGCGGGCGGGCGAGCGAGCGAGCGAGCACTGACCCTAACCGAGCTCACGTCCTGCAGGCCGACACGCTGAAGGAGCGCTACCAGAAGATCGGTGACACCAAGCGCGCCACGCCCATTGAGGCACTGTGTGAGAGCTTTCCGGGTGAGGAGCCCGTGGCCAAGCCGTGTAGCCACATCTTTCTCTCCCCTCTCTCTCTCTCTCCCCTCTCTGTCTCTCTGCTGTCCCGTGACCACACCCTGGTCCTTTTTGCAGAGGAGATGGCCACCTATTTGCGCTATGTACGGCGCCTGGACTTCTTCGAGAAGCCAGACTATGACTACCTGAGGAAGCTCTTCACCGACCTCTTCGACCGCAGCGGCTATGTGTTCGACTACGAGTACGACTGGGCCGGGAAGCCCCTGGTATGTGCAGGTGATGTGAGAGAACCCATGGTTAGAACTTGCGTGAGGGGTGCAAGTGTGGAGCCCCGCAGGTGGGGGTATGGAGGGGGAGAGCCCGGCAGGTGAGGGTGTGGAGGGGGAGAGAGCCCCGCAGGTGGGGTGTTGAAGGGGAGAGCCCGGCAGGTGGGGTGCACCAGGTAGGCATCTCCATAGGTGATGCCATCTACGCAGTGGGTATCCGTGCAAGTGAAGAGGTACCCCAGAATGAAAGCCCACTAGTTGAAGGGGTGCAGGTGGAGATCCCCGCAGGTGAAGCGGTACAGGTGCACCCCACCCCATAGGGGCAGTGGGCCCGAGCCTCAGTGGGAGGGGCCATCGTCCAGAGGGCTCGGGTCAGGAACTGTCCTGGGGCTGCAGCGGCGCCTGCGGCTCCATCCGGTCCTGACATCTGCTCTCACAGCCGACTCCAATCGGCACCGTCCACACTGATGTGCCCTCCCAGGCACCACATCGAGACAAAGCCCAGCCCCACTGCAAAAACCAGGTGAGGGGGGCCGCTAGTCCTGGAGGGGATGGGACCTGTGACACACCTGACATAAAGCAAGCAGGGGTGCTAGCCTGACGCCCGCTGTCCTCCCAGGCACTGAACTCCACTAATGGAGAGCTGAACACAGATGACCCCACCGCTGGCCACTCCAACGCCCCCATTGCGGCCCCTGCAGAAGTAGAGGTGGCAGATGAAACCAAGTAAGGCCCAGGCTCTTCGTGCAGTGAGCCTGCCCATGCTGGTCACCATCACCCCTTCACCGCCCTTGTCACCCACTTTATCCTTGCCCTGTGTCACCTTCTACCCTGTCACCACTCCTCATGTCACCATTCCGCACTGTCATCACTCCCCTGTCACCTTTTAACCCCCATGTCGATGCCCCGTGTCAACTCCGTGTGTCACCCACAGGTGCTGCTGCTTCTTCAAGAGGAGAAAGAGAAAATCCCTGCAGCGGCACAAGTGACAAGTGACGGGGAAGGTCCCCAGGCGGGCGTCCCGGAGGCTGGCAGTGTCCTCGGGGGCGTGGGGCTCCTTGGCCCAACTTCAGGCACCATCTTCCAGGACTTGGGGTCACTTCCTTCACACAGGACTTTGGCGGAAATCTCTAAGCCCCTGTCTCGTCCCCTTTGAGAGCATTAACTATTTAAAACCAGGACAGAAACGTCCCGCCGTCCCCGCTGCGCCCCTGTTAGCTCATAAAGTCCAGCTTGTCCCCTCGATCCAAAGGCCATTTTCTCGAGGGGGGCAGGCCCGGGGCATGGGTGTCACATGGGAAGGCCACCAGGCCTCGGCCACCGAAAGGGGAGGCCTGTGCCATACCACAGTGCTGCACCAAAGCCGGGGCGGAGCGCGGGATGCTCACCACAGAGCCAGGGCGCCCGTGACCCATGCGTGTCCCTGTGTGCTAGGCCCATGGGATAGAATCGCCTTAATGCCCGACCTGGGGCAGTGGAAAGGCGGTCCCCACGGGAGGGCCAGGCTGTGGTCTCGGGAGCCGAGTTCTTGCTTTACAACATGTACAGAAATGAACTTATGTTTCTCCGGCGCTTCCTTGAAGCCATAGAGTTTAGAGGCTTTTTTAAAAAAATAAAAAAAATAAAAAATAAAAGAAAATGAAACCATCCCTGAGCATGAGTCTGATCTTTGCAGTCCATAGGAGATTACAGCATATGGACAGGAGGAACCCAGCTGGCTCACTGGAGTCCTGGAGGAGCTGGGCACTCGCTGATCTGGGAAAGATGGAAGAGGCTGGGAAATTGAGGGGGGGGGAGGCTGCTGTTCCAAACCTGAGGGACCCGGCAGTCCCCAAGAAGGTGGACAGGTCTGGGTGGACCAATAGTCCCTCTGAGAACAGCACCTGCAGGGCTGCAAACAGCCATTGCAGACAGAAGCCCACTTCAGGTCGGGGACCATGCCCTGAGGGGCTGGAACAGGCAGCCACCATGTTGCAGATCTGCAGGCTGGAAGGGACTGTTAGATCCATAAGGCCCAGCACTGGGACCCAGGAAAGCAGATGTAAGCGGTGCTAAGGTGCCTGATGCCTACTGCGACCTTGCCCTTGCATTACTGGAGACAGGTCCCAGGCATCACCCTGTGTGAAATAAAAAAGGGTGAAGGTAAGAACCAAGACAAGAAAATAAGAAAGGGCAGAGAGGTCTAGAACTGCAGCCACACCCAGAACCCAAATCCTCACTCAGAACCTTGTGACCAGCTCCTGGGAACCCAGCATCAGCTCCCAGCCTCCACAGACACCACACAGCACTCACACCCACAATACAGCACACACAGTACACAGCACACACGATACACACAATACACACAGCACACATACCCACAATACACACAGCACACACACACACACAATACACACAGCACACACAATACAGCACACACAATACACAATAAACACAGCACACCACACAATAAACACAGCACACACACAGCACACACATATACACACAGCACACACACAGCACACAACACACACACACACACACACACACACACACACACACACACACACACACACACACACATATATATATATATATATATATATATTTGGTTTTCTGAGACATTTTCTCTGTAGCTTTGGAGGCTGTCTTGGAACTTGCTCTGTAGACCAGGCTGGTCTCAAACTCACAGAGATGCTCTTGCCTCTGCCTCCCAAGTGCTGGGATTAAAGGCATGTGCCACCACATAAATCTTTTTTTACACAATGATTTTATGTGTATGGGTATCTTACATGTAATGCACCAGGAAGCCAGAACAGGGCATTGGATCTTCTGAGACTGGAGTTACAGGTGTGAGCTGCCATCTGGATGCTGGGTTTTGAACCTGCATCCTCTGGAAGAGCAGCCAGTGCTCTTAATTACTGAGCCATCTCCCCAGTCCACAAATATAAATCTTAAGAAACAAACAAAAAGCTGGGCATTGGTGGCGCACGCCTTTAATCTGAGCACTCAGGAAGCCAAGGCAGATGAATCTGAGAGTTCCAGACCAGCCTGGTCAGTTCCAGGACAGCCTCCAAAGCTACAGAGAAACCCTGTCTCAGAAAAACAAAATAGAAAGAAAAAAAAAAGAGTGGCTACACTAAATGTTCTTCTGATGCCTTCCTCTGCGTGAGGCACTTGTCACTCTCCTGAGTTCCCAGTGTGTCCTCAGTGAGGCTGAGTGGATGACAGCACTGGGCTGGGCCACCAGAGTAGTGCAAAGTCTCCAGGGCTGGGGAGATAGCTTGTCACATGGACACAAGCTAGAGTCATTTGGGAAGAGCAATCTCAGTTGAGAAAATGTTCACACACAAAGAGAGAGAGAGAGAGAGAGAGAGAGAGAGAGAGAGAGAGGTCCACACCAGATTGTCCTCTGGGCAGTTGATGGATGAGGGCAGGACCAGCCCATTCCAGGCAGGTGGTTCAGGATCAGTAAGCCTTGAAGAACATTCAGGCTTTCTCTCCCTGGCCCTTGCATCAGCCTTGCCTCCGGCGCCTGCCGACTTCCCTCAGTGATGGACTGTAGCTGTGAGCTGAAATGAACTGAATCTTTCCTCCCCAAGATGCGTTGGTCACGGTGTTTATCACAGCAACGAAACCCTAAACCAAACACTTGACTTCAGATGTCCCGAACCCATGTGAAGCCAGACGGGAGCCGGGCCTAAAGCTTGCAGGTTAGCTAGTGTGCTGTCCACAGTGGCAAACAAGAGACCTTGACTCAAAGTGGAAGGGAAGGAGACAGCCCAGGTTGAACCTTGACCTCACACACATTCACACACCATGCACACAAGCTCTCATGATACACACAGCCTTGTGTGTTTTGTCATAGCAAGAGAAAACAAAATAAAAAGATTCCTTATGTATTTGCGTGGCTGGCTGGGGATTGTCCATGTCCCACAGGTGTACACGGGTGTCAGAGGACACCTTTCTAAAGTCTATTCTTTCCTTCCATCGTGGGGTCTGCACATCAAACTCAGATGGCCAGGCTTGGTGTCACCTCTGCCAGCCAAGGCATCTTGCCAGAGCTTTCTTTTGTTTTGTCCTCTCCTCTTCATGCTTTGGTGGTTTCAGTGATACTGTTTTTTAGTCATACTGTTTTTTGGTTTTTTGTTTGTTTGCTTGGATTCCCCCTCCCACAAACAGGGTTTGTCTGTAGCTTTGCAGGCTGTCCTGGAACTTGCTCAGTAGACCAGGCTGGCCTCAGATTCAGAGATCCGCCTGCCTCTGCCTCCCGAGTGCTAGGATTAAAGGTGTGCGCCCCCCCCCCACTGCCCAGCCTACTTTTATCATCTTAAATCATGCATTTGTATTGCCTGCCCAGGAGTGCAGAGCCCAGACTCAGTGGAAGCAGCTGCACTGGCAGCACAGGTGGTTGTGAGCTACCCAACACAGGTGCTGGGAACCCAGGTCCTCTGCAAGAGCAGCAGGTGCTCTTAACCACTGAACCATCTCTTCAGTGACCCCTTTTTTATTTTTAAACAGGGTGTCATGTATCCCAGGCTAGCCCAGGACTCCAGACCTCCAGCCTCTGCCTCCTAGGGGCTAGGATGACAGCTCCCTTCTCGGGGCCTTGGGTCTTGCTGGTAGCCTGCCCGCCTGCCTCCGCTCTTCTGGAGACACTGGGAAGGTATCTTAGGGGACAACACTGGTGGTCGAGGTTCCCACTTGCCAGCCCCACATCACTTGAAGGACGTGGCACTCAAGGGTTTGTTTCCTTTATTTAAAAAAATCATTTGGGGATACAGTGTGGAGGGGTCACCTCCCATGGCTTTGGGGAGGACATGGGTTCTGGGTAGGAGGTCACAGGTATGGAGACACAAAGGAGGGAGCCCCAGATAGAGGGCTGCGCCTCCTAGGGCATCAGGACAGAGAGCCTGGTGGACTTAAGAGAACCAGGGCTGTGGTTTGCACAGGGCTGTTCTGTGGTACCCTGGGTGCCGCAGCAGGCCAGCTGGAGGCCCAGTGCATCTGGATGGGGCTTGACCTGTGGCTCCAGCACTGCAGGCTCAGAGCTGAGCTTTGCTAGCCATACCTGGGAGGAGCAGACCCATAGAGGCTGGGTAGTGATGGCCTTTTACTAACACATCGCACCCATCCTGGGGCAGAGTTTCCAGCAAGGCTCACCAGCCCTGTCCAAGGCTCCTCAGGACTGACCACTGCCCTGCACATGCACAAGCCCAGGAGGCCAGGGCTTCAGGTGGCCTCAGTGTCCTCAGGGAGCAACGGAGAACAAAGAAACATGAAACCCAACCACTGGCTGGAGGACAGGCATGAGCATGGGCTCTAGCCAAGTGTGGACTCGAATGCATTGCAGTGTGCAGTTTAAGAGAACCGCGAGTGCTGCTGTAGCACCGCTGGGCACTGAGCAGGCCTTCTGCCCTGAGCTGCAGGGACCAGAATGGGAACCCAGACTCCCAAGCCACTGCCCTCCACCCCAACAGCTGTCCATACACGACCAGGCCCACTCTGCCCACCAAGACTGAGGGATTGTCTTGACAGGGCCCAGCCCATGGCCCGACCAACTCCCCAGTGCCTTGGGATGGGGGTCACACTTGTCACTGTGAACACAAGGCAGCCCCTTCCATGATGATGAGGGAAGTGGCAGGGAGGGAGGCTGGCCTGTGGCTGGCAAGGGGTGACCTCGGTGGAGAATGTCCTAGGTGTAGAAGATGACTTCCGGGATCTGCCCATCCTCCACAGAGGTGCCATTGTTGTTCCCGGCGGCATAACAGAAGGTAAAGCATGCCTTAGCCCCTGTGGTGGGCGACTCATGAGTCACCTTGCGTAAGCCTTTGGTGCCATAGTGAGAGTCCGGGCCCTGGAGGGGAGTGGGAGGCACAGCAGTGAGGCTGGGAAGCTCTCAGACTTTGGGGAGATAACGAGGGGCACCCACAGCCGGCGGGGGAAGGGGGGATGGGGGGGCAGTGCCCTCGGGTACATGCGGCCCCCACCTTGAGCGTGGCGCAGGCAGTGTAGTTCACATTGGGCAGGACCTCCACTGGCTCCTTGAACATAACACGGAAGGTGCTGGCCGAGCCATCGCAGCTGAAACCAGTGTCGTTCTGGCCGAGGACCGTATTGCTGTCTGTGTGGATGATCTGGGGGGGGGGGGGAAGGCTGCTGGGCTGGGGGAACAAGAGGGGGAGGGGGGGGAGGGGGGGGGGGGGGCCGGGGGGGGGGCCGGCGGGGGAGGGAGGGACTACAGCAGGGTACTGAGGACAGTGGGTGGGTGGGACCTGTGGGCGTGACCTCAAGGAGAGTGGGTGCGGTGTCAGTGGGGATAAGCACAGGGGCCAAGCTATGGGCGTGGCCGGAAAGCTGGCAGGGCAAGGCTGGCACCGTTACCTGGATGTTCACTTGATAGTCAGTGGGCCCGTGGATGGATCCATAGAGCCCAAAGCCCACCACAAAGATGCGCTTGTTGACGGAGAACCTGCAGAAGGAATTAGGTGGCAGATGGATCAACCCCCTGGGCCCACTGGGCTGAGCAACTGGGGCGGCCATGGGAGAGCTTGGAGCACACTGCCCATTCAGGACCATGAGAAGTTCCTGCTGCCCCTTCCTTCCCAAGCCGCCGCCCGACCCGGGGTCCTGCGGCCCCACCTGATTCGGTCACTGGTGCCACTGTAGCCCCAGCGGCTTTCCACCTGCTGGAACCGGTTGATGCTGCACTCCTTGCCTCGAAGGCAGCAGCGGGGCCTGTCAATGAACTCCACGCGAGGCTTGGGGTTGACAGTAAAGTGCAGGAAAAGACTGACCACCTCTCGGTCCGCCAGGATGCCGGACTGTGCCGGGCCTGCGGGCAGAAGGCGGCTGACAGCACGAAGGGAAGGAAGGCAGACTCAGGGCCTGCCCCTCGGGCCGGGACACCTATGTTCCTGGGATCCACCACAATGCCTTCTACCTGACACTCTGGGCCGGCAGACACCCACCTGTGTGGGCCCCTCGGGAGCCCTGTTGTGGAACAAACACCCTTGCTTCATACAGCCTGTGACCCTGCCCGTCCATGCACCGTTATTGACTGAGCCCCAGCCCAAAGCTGAATCCTGAGTGGCAGATAGGACATGACCCCAAGTATGGAAACCCCAGGGTCTTCGGGTGTGTCCCCAAGTCAGCCTGATAGACATGGGCATGAAGGGTGTTGCAGTGCCCGCTGTGCAAGCCTTTTACCTGCTGCAAACTCCTCAATGGTCATCAGGGGGAACCGGATGAGACCTAGGGCCTTCCCTAGCGCCTTCCTCTTGTTCTCAGGTGTCACCTGAAGCTGTTGCCGTTGACACTCAGCTTCAGACCAGCGTACTACAGCATTGAATAGTCGAACCTCACGGATGCCCAGAGTGTCACGCTCCAGCACTGCCACCAGTGTATCTGTGGCAGAGAGAGGCTGTGAGCCCTGATGCCCTGTAACCACGTGGGCTATGTGTAGACCAGCCCCATTAGGAACTACCCTGTAGCCAGGGCTTGGCAACTGTGACCCTTGGTCGATGTTTATCAATAAAGTTTTATTGACAATGGCCCTCCCTAAGCACACACTTTCCTCCATCTATCCTTCCCTCCCTCCCTTTCATGGTCTCATACGGTCCAGAATGGCCTTGAAATCACTATATAGCCAAGCTGGCCTTGAATTCCTGGCCCTCCTCTCTCTACCTCTTGAATGCTGAGGTGACAGGCTGGAGAATGCTAGGGAAGTAGTCTGAGCTGAGTCCCAGACCACTTTCTTTTTGAGACAAGGTCTCATTCTATAGCTTAGACAGGTCCAGAACTCATAGCAATCCTTCTGCCCCAGCCTCCAGAGGGGGAACTGAGATCATAGGAGTGTATATCCCCACACCCTGCAACTATTTCCTCTGGTCCCACAGGGCCCTTCCAAGGCATCTGCAGATGTCCCTATAGAAGGCACGGCGGTCTCCCTAGGCAGGGATAACACTGACCCCAGAATCTCTTGGTCACAGGCCACACCCCACTACCCAGCCTCACTGTATCTGCTCCAGCCAGGCCAGCCATGTCATCTTCAAATCAGGATCTCCAACCTGACCCAAGCCCAGCACAGTCCTCGAATCTGGGACCTACTGGCCCTGACTCACCCAGGTCAATGTCAGTGAATCCCTCGGCGGCGATGGCGTCGGCTGTGTTCTTGTCTATGCTCTCCAGGCACAGGCTGGCTAGCTGCGGCTCATCAAAGAGCCGAGCCTGGACAGAGATGGGGAAGGTCAGCACTTGCCACAGCAGCCCACATTTGCACACTATGCACACACACGTGAATACACACATGAAAACTATAGTGGAGAAGCCAGGAGTGGTGGCACACACCAGACCTCAGGTTGAGACAGAAAGGTCAGGATTGTGCAGCAGCCTGGCTAGTGAGCCAGACTGTCTCAGAGGAGAAAGCAACAAAAAAAAAAAAATTCCAGGCGTTGGTGGAGCATGCCTTTAATCCCAGCATAGGGAGGCAGAAGCAGGTGGATCTCTGTCAATTCAGGCCAGCCTGGTCTACAGAGTGAGTTCCAGGACAATCTGGGCTACACAGTGAGACCTCATCTCCAAAAACAAAAGCCCCTTCCCCCCAAAAAAGCCTACAAAAAATGAAGTGGACAGTGACTGAGGACACCTGGCACCAGCCTTGTGGTCGGTCACACATGCACACACATCAGGCATCACCGGACACTCAGCGACCACATCCACCTGCGTGAGAAGCATGAAGGCATTGTCAGCCCGCAGGTGTTTCTTCAGGAACTCCACGCAGTGTGCCTCGAGTGCAGGCACTGCATACTTCTTGGCGGTGTACAGCGTGGTCATTACTGTCTCGGGCCCAATTTGTACTTCATCTGAATACAGGAACCTGAGCAGGAGACATGGGCTGTGAGAACACCAAGTGACCCCACAGCCGCCAGACCTGGCCAAACACTGCATATCTGAAGGTTGCTCAGCAACCTTCCAGAACTGACATCGTCAGTGTCTCCTGCCCTGGGGATGGTTCTCAGTAAGGCCAGGCTGTCACCCATGAGAAGTCCAAGCACAGGCCACCCTAGGCACGCACCTGGGGTGCCACTTACAGCAGGACCTAGGACCCTGTGGCCAAGCTTAGGCGATCATGGGTAAATAACAGAAAACCACACTGACCTCAGGCACTCACTGGTCAGGACAGTATAAGTGCCCACACCACACAGCACACTGCCCACTCTTGGAGACAGGTTGTTTCAAAACTATAACAACATTAAGTCTTCCTTCAAAAGATTTTTAAAAAGTATTATTTATTTGAGTTTTGCATGAGTTTATGCATGCCATGTAAGTATGGCCCTGAAGTATTGGCTCCCCCTGGAGCTGGCAACCCCCTGCCCGGGGTTACAGGGGTGCTGAGCCATCTCTCCAGCCACTAAAACATTCTGAAAAATTGTCTGAAGGATGACCTCTCTTTTCTGGGTGTGCTCGAAAACGTTCCACTCTCTACCAAGATGCACAGCAACAATCTGCCTTCTGGCTTTTCATACTCTACCCCATATTCTAGCACCTCACTGTGGCCAGAAAGGTCTGGAAACTTACTTGAGCAGTGCCAGGAAGGCAGCGGGCTCCACGTCAGGCAACTCAATTTCAGTGGATGTGGTAGCCATTCCACCATTGAACATAGCATCAAAGACAGCACTGCCCACAGCTAGCACAAACCTGAGCCAGAAGAGAGGGTGCCTGTCTGTTAGTCTTGTTGGCCCAGGCCAGACAGAGTCCCCTGTCACACCCTCCTGCAGAGACTTGTGGCAACCCTGGTAGAGGCCTTTCTGGGCCTCAGATCCCTCTAGAAGGAAATGGAAGGAGGAGGCTGTAGAGGGGCCAGCATGAGGGCAGCGCCAAGCTCCTCTATACGCATGCTTGCTCACGCTCCTCCCCACATGCTCCCTCATTCTTTCCTTCATTGTTCACTTGACCCCACCTCCTCTCATCCTGTTCATTCCCTCCCTCAACTCTCTGGGCCATGGTGACAGGCATGGGGATCTGACCCCAGGGGCTGGACAGCCTAGATCAGGGACCACAGCTGGGGCAGGGCAGAGCCTGAGGAACCTGTGGTGGCATGAGTAATGAAAAGCAAAGGGGTCACATGACTGCCTTGACCACTCCAGCTGAGGTAGTATGGGTAAGCCAGGGCAAGATGGAGAGCATGATGGCTGGGTTCAAGACCTCGCAGAGACGGCATGGAACTCAGCTCATGTTCTAGTGGAGACAATGGCCATGGGGCCAGCCCCACGTATGCGCCAGCAGACACCTCTGGACATGTAGATGGGGCCATGCACCATGAGTAAGACAGAACTAGCAACCACAGCTGAAGCTGGATAAGGAACCTGAAACCCTCCATAGAACCAAGGACCTATCACACCTGTAGGTGTGCCCTCTCAAGGGTCACATGGGCCCCACTGGCCATACAGTACCCAAGCTACCTCCTGCCCAGAGTCTGGCCACTGCTGACTGTCTGTCACATTGGATTTGGATCAGACTGGGGACCACCCCACCCCCCAGGTAGCAACCAAGCACACCCAGAGCGTTTCTTGGGAACTGGCCCTCCCAAATGGAATTAGCTGAGATTAATCAAAGAGGAAGCTGGGAGACAGGCACCTTCAGGAGGGAAACGTGAGCAAACATACAGAGAAAGAGCTGACAACTGGCTGGACATGGCCTGTACCTCAGCTTGCAGGAACGAAAGCACAACAGGAGTTTAGGGCAATCTAGGCAACTCAGTAAGACCTTGTCTGAAAAAATAAAAAGGGAAAAGACTAGTGGCTCAGAGATGGAGCCCTGCCTAGGATCCCCCAGTGAGGGGCTGGGAGCATGGTCAGGGTGGAGTTCCACCTAAAACCCCCCAGTGAGGGGCTGGGGCATGGTCATAGTGTGGGACCCCTGCTTAGACTCCCCAATGAGGGCTGGAGCATTGCTCAGCAATACAGCACCCATCTAGCATGTGCATACCTATAGACTTCATGCCTATCACTGCAAAGCCAAAGTGGAGATGGTTGAGGAAAACCTGGGACAAACACTGGGGCCTAGTATTCAGACATTCAGAAGGGACCCACCTGGGGGCCTTGGAAAGTGTGCAGCTGGGCAGACCAGGGTCTTGGCTCTGAGGTCTCAGTCACAGTCCTGCAGTCTTCTAGCTCCTGACCCCCTCCTGGTCCCGGTGGAAGCTGGGAACCCTGAATGCTCATCACAGCAGAGGCTCAAGGGCCCCAGGCCCACTCAGTGGTAAGCCAGAAATAACTTCCCTGCCTGCGCCTCTGCTTTCTGTTTAGGAAGCATCCTGTCCCCACAGGGACGCCTCCACCGGACCACGCAAAAGTCCAAATCAGAAACTCAGGCACCCAGCTGCACGGGCATAGCCACAGCCACCTGACACGGATACTTGCACCTGGCCCTCTGTGACTCACAGCAATGAACAGCTTATCCCAGGGGAGGCGCTGGAAACTCAGCTTGCCCCACCTCCATTCTCTACAGGCATCCCTGCTGCCTTTGGATCCGAGCCAGCAGCCTTTCCCTGTACTCTTCTCTTGTCCACTGTGGTTTCTGTAGCTCTTTGCAGGAGACAGGAACACACATGCACACCAAAGGTGGGAACAGCCCATAACGCACCAAGTGTGATCAGACATGCAGCATGTTCCCTCTATACACTGGAGTACCACACAGCTATGAACAGAACAAGGTTACATCACACACCCCAGAGCAGGGAAAATGGAGATATCATGCTCAGTGAGGGAACCAGAGGACAGGGAGGACACACACGCTATGGCTGGGAAGATGGTACGTGCTGGACAGTAGTGCTGGCTGCACACTATGTCAGCAGGTGCCAGCTCAGTGATCCATACTTAGGCGAGACCACAAGCCACTCTTGCAAAACACAAGTTCAGCTCCCAGTACCCACAGCCAGCATCAGGGACCTGGACTCTGCAGGCAGGCACACTAGTGAAAACACAGGCACAGACACATGAGACACACACATGCGCACATATGAACACACGCATAAACATGCACACACATGCACACACAATTAAAATACATCATTTGTTGTTGTTTCCTTGTTTCAAATAGGGTCTCATCACAAAGCCTGGGCCAGCCTTGAACTCAGTCTCAATGTTGGGATCATAAACCTGCACCACTATACACAATACAGGAGCATTGCAGATGGACCAGCTTAGACACCCTGTGCCAGGAGCACATAGTAGTTACAAATGTGTGCAGGGCAAATGATGAGGCTAGTACATAGTACAGGTACACCGACACCCGATAGCTGGAGCTGGGGAAGGCTCCATGGGTAAAGAAGGCATGAGTTCAAATCCTATCCACATGTAAAAAGCCAAGTATGGTCCCGCCTTTAACCCCAGTACTCAGAGGTAGAAGCAGGCAGATCTCTGTGGATCCAGGCCAGCTTGGTCTATACAGTACAACCCTGCCTTAAAAAAAAAAAAAAAAAAAAAAAAATCTTTTTTCCTTTAGACAGAACTATGCAGCTCAGGCTAAACCTAAACTAATATGCCAACCCAACTTCCTGTGAGTTAAAATGACAGGTATTGGGCTGGAGAGATGGCTCAGTGGTTAAGAGCGCTGACTGCTCTTCCAGAGGTCCTGAGTTCAATTCCCAGCAACCACATGGTGGCTCACAA